CAGGGAAAATTATAAAATGGGAATTTTGAGAAAAAATGAGCACCAGGAAGTAAAATGGAACAAGTCCTGAATTCAAGGAGAGAATAAAAAAATGAAGTAAAGGGATTGAATGGTGACCTCAGGGCCAGTCTCCAAACTGTGGAAAGGAACTGAAAAAAAGTTTAGAGTTGGGTGTGGTTGGGCACACCTTTATTCCCCAGCAGTGGAACAGCAGAAACTGGCTGATCAATAAGTCTGAGCCAAGCCTAGTCTATAGAGCAAGTTTCAGAAGAGCCAAGGTTAGGCTGTAAAGGATTAAAAAGTAAAGTGTATAAAACTGGTGAAGTTGTAATTGAAGGAGGGGACCATGTTCCAGCTCCAGTCAGCAGCAGAACTTGGTTGCCTTGGCCACGTGATTCTGACTTTAGAATTAAAGATAGAAGAAGCAGGTTATGGAATTTGCCTCAGAGCCTAAAGAAACTTTCTAAAGCCAGGCATGTGTCAGGAGTTTCCATGAATGGAGGATTAGTAAACGGCCATTGCTTGAAGCTGTAAAATTGTAGCCTGGATTCTCTTGGATTACCCAAGCTGTTGGAGATGCCAGAGTCATGGGACACAAGCCTAAGAGAGCTGCTAAAAGAGAGTGACTCCAGCCCAGGAGAAAGAAGTTTGTTGCAGTTAACAGAGCTGAAAGGACTGGGAGTGCTGAAGGGTTTTTGACATTAGACACAGAGATGAAGTGCTTGAGGTTTGCCTAGCTGGTTTTAGGTCACACTTTAGTTCCGTATTTCCTAGCTATGTTCCCTTCCCTAAGTTTTGGAATGGAAATGTATATCCTGTGCCATTGTGTATTAGAAGCTTGTGGCCTACTTTCTCATTTTCAGTTTTACAATGATTACAATTAAAAGACTGCGTAAATCTCTTTAGAGACTTTGAACTTTGGACTTTTAATCATTGTTGAGACTGTGATAAACCATGGGAACTTTATAAGTCGAAATAAATGATTTTGCTTTATGATATTGTTACAAGCTTGTGGTGGCCCTTGAGCAGAATGTGCTAGTTTGAATGCAATTGTCCCCCGTAATCTCTTAGGGGTAGTATTATTACAAGATGTGGCTTTGTTAGAGTGTTTATGTTTTTGTTGTAGTAAGTGTGTCACTGTGGGGCAGGCTTTAAGGTTTATACGTCCAGCATCTCAAGTGACTTTCTGTTGCCTCCAAACTAAGATCTAGCCAGCACCATGTCTACCTGCATGCCACCTTGCATCCTGCCATGAATATAATGGACTGAACCTCTGAAACTATAAAGGAGCCACACAAATTAAATGTTTTCTTTATGAGAGTTTCTGTAGTCATGATGTCTCCTTATGTCAATAGGAAACCTTAACTAAGACATAGTTATAAATAGATTCTTGTCTAGAAAGTAAGACAGCTTAAAATTATGATACTATGTGGTCAGGGATTTCTAAAATGCTTTTATCATCAAGTTTACTGGGTTATTAACATATGTTGGGTAATATTATTATAAGGTGTGTTTCTTCTGTTTGTGTATGGGACATCTGTTTAACGATATAAAGATGTCTTCTTTTATTTATGTTGTATTTGTTGATCTATGAAGTAGTGATTCATTATCTGTCTAAAATACATGATGGTCTAACAAAGAGCTGAAAGCCAAAGAATGGCAGGATAGGCGGGGCTGTCAGGCAGAGAGTACAAATAGGAGAAATGAGAAGGCGCCACAAGAGAACAAGGGGAGTTGGACTCTAGAGGCGAGGCACCAAGCTGCCAGGCAGCCACAGAGTAAGAGGAAAGGTAAGATATACGGAAGAAAGAAAAGGTGAAATCCGGAGGCAAACAGTCGTAGCAATAATTTAAGTTAAGAAAAACTGGCAAGAAACAAGTCAAGCTAAGGCCAAACATTCCTAACTAAGAATAAGCTTCCATGAATGATTTTATGGGACCTGGCTGGCAGGCCCTAAAAAATCCATAAGATGAAAATATACACAGCAAACACATTCACAAACTTTTTAAGTTTATTACAAAAGAAGAAACTCTTTTAAATATCTATCTTTGATTATTCAACTCTTATTTTAGGATGTAAGAAGTGAGTTGATATATTACTGGGTATTACACAAAATAGAAGCATTTTATACTTGTTTCTGCCTGTCAAACACTGTAGAATAAATAGACTGGGGCTACTGACATAGACAACCACATTCAATACTTTTTTACATGGGCTATGGAAATAAATAAAACTTAGGTTTTTATGCTTGCAACTCAAGTATTTTTACTCCAACACCCATTCTTCAAGTTCTCATCCGTTGCTAGAAACTGTGGATTTTTTTCCCATACGTGAAGTTTGAAAAAAAAAATTCTGCTACCAAGAACTCTTTGAAAGCTTTATGTAACATTGGAGTGCAGTGAAAATACACTCAATTACATGCAACAAGAATTCATGGACTACTATATCTCTACTAGGAGCATATTATGTCTTATACCACAAGTATAAAACAGACAAGCAAGAAACTGTTACTTCATATAATCTTTTTAAATATTTTTAAGAATGACTACCTCTTCATGTTGTTGGAAAATATATTAGTGTGGATCCTAAAACACAGATATGGATTTTCAGTTTCATAAAGCCCTTGATTGCACTGGTCATAGTGGCTACTCAATGTTGTTTTTTTCCAAGTCCCAATCAGGGTCTTACACAGTATTATTAATAACATCTTCCTATTCAAACAATTAGTTCTTGAATTTAATCTTGATAAAGAGCCAGGAACCTAAAGTCTATTTCCAAAGCGTGTCTTCAATTCATACTTAGATGGCCCCAAATGAATATATTAAATATTCCACAGTTGTGAACAAAAAATATTGAATTAACTTCAAGGTTGAGAATATAGAATCTGAATTATTAAAATATCTCCTAGTGATTCTCCTAGAAAATTCAATGTCATGTTAATTTCCAGAACTAAAATGATACAGTCTCAGTTCAACCAATAAAATTGAATTTTCAATCAGGTCATAGGTATTACACTTTATAAAGACCATTAGTAATCAAAATTCACTTGGCATAAGATTTGCAACAAAAATTATTGACATGAGACAATGTACTTTTCACTTTGTTATTAAACTAGGAATTTAATACATAGTATGATGATTTCTGTAAGCATGTAAATATTTTCATTTAATAATTCAAATGCTATTGGCAAAGCTGAGCTCATTTATCTGGCAGAAATGGAATTTAAAAATAATGGCCTGCCTTCCTAAAAGATCATTTCAATTATTCAATTTGTGTATTTTCTGTTGAGGAAATTAGGGAAAATTTCAGGAAAGAGACATACTGATACATAGATAATATGTTAGAATGCTTAAAATAGTGTTAGAAATATCATGATAGAAATTAGTTTAATTTCTTTGTCTATTGTATGAATTTGTATGAAAAATTACATTTTTACATTTTATTTTTTTGACTCCAAGTTAAGCTTTAAGGAAGGTTTTCTTCAATAGTAATAGTGTTTATCAAATTAAAAAAAAAAACAAGAAATTTCTTTCCACAGCTACTATGAAAAAAATTCTGTGCGGCAGATTTGAAACAGCTTGGAGCATAGCAGTTAGAATAAACATCAGATGTCCCTGTTTACTTGATGTTACTTTACTGATTAAATAACCAATATAATACACACCTCATGTTCTGCATGTGCATATGAGAGTCTCAGTGAAAAGAGAGAGTGAGACAACATGGAGAAAAGAATAATTGTTAGCTAGAAAAACAATAAGAAATCATCGAATTTGGTATATACAGAAACTCCTGAGAAGGGTGATGGTATGAATGTAATTACTTGACTCATTCAGGGAAATATGGTAAACTGAAACAATTTATTACCATTTTAGATTATCTGATTATGTTTTCACTAATGTGGACATTAGTGCATTTTAGATTTCCTACCTCTTCCATACCAATCCCTATGTTTTTTGAGATAGAAAATTTTTAAGGAAAAGTCTCCATGCTTCTGAAAGATCATGGTGACCATTAACAATTTATACTTTTATTTTTAATTGAAAATATAAAACAAACCTAGTGAATGTACATAATTATTTTCTAAGGAGTTATATACTGTTAAAAATGTCATCAAGAGGATAAAGGAAAAATGTCAACACATTCTTTCAAATGAGAAAAGAATTGAACTGACTTCCTTTTAAATTATGAGTATAATATGCTGTTGAATACAGCATGGTCAAGTGAAAGGACAGGAAGCGTATTGTAGACTAAGTAATTACTAATTTTCCTATTATCACATTAGTAAGCCAAAGTGCTTTCATTAATTTTATTATACACACACACACACATAAATATTATATGTGTTCATTTAAATTAGTTCGATACATAAAATGCCACCAAAATATTTTTAGAGATGTTAAATACCAATTCCAGTAATGCCATTACCCGTTCCTCTGTTTTTCTATTCTACATCATTTCTCTGTTTCCTGTGTATAGTTAAATTATAATATGAGTGATTCTGAAAATTAGCAATAACAGAAACTCATGCGTACACGGTAATACTTAAACTCCATATAACCTCAGTCCTTTATCGTGAAAGCTCATCAAAATGCTGCATCTGTTTGTCCTGATACCTTTTTGTTAGAGATTTCATTAAATGAATTCAGAAGCGTATGCTCAAAAACATTTTTGAAAAGTAATGGCTAAATGATTTCCACAATTTTTAATGACTTTATGTGTACAGAGAAGATTGAATGTAAGCTATCACTATGATATTTGGGGATTCAGTGTATACCAAAAAAACTAATGAAAGTCACTTTAAAAGTAATATTAATAACCTAGCATTTTGTAATCTATAAAGTACATTTTAGGTGACAGTAATTGACTTGGTTTTCTCCTGTACAATCATTTTTTTAAACTGACTTTACAGTAGCTTTAATAAAGTAAGTCATTTATTTAGTTTGTATAAGTTGGTAAGTTGTCTACTTCTGTGTTGTTCCCTCTAGAAACAGCAGTATTACCTTATCACCTTCAGAAAATGTGGCTCCATCCGCTGCTCGTTTCCAGGTGATTTCTGGAATGGGCTCGCCTTCCGCCTCACAGATGAGTGTGACATGGCCATTCTCAGATGTCGTCTCATTCTGAAGTTGTAATATATGCGGCTGTACTGTAAAAATTGTACATATTACTCAATTGATATTAGACCCAAAAGGTTACTATTCACAATGAAAATTCCATATTAGATCAAACTACATACTGAAGTGGTATGAGATGACTAACTCCACAGCAGTTACAACTTACTTTCTAAAAATACCAAAAAATGCAAATAAGAATGGGTAAATTCTAGGTAATAAAGTTTACCTATTTTTATTATAATAATTACTGCAGATCCTTATAAATCAATATAAAACATAATTCCTTTCAAATTTTTGCCAATTTAGTGTAAACACAAACACACTTATAGCATCTCCTTAGTCATTTCTTGCATTTTAACTTTTAATGAGCTCAACAAAGTAGACAAATGATTACAAATTATTTGATATCTAAAGTGTAGAGTTAGAAATAATTATGAAATTTTCCATGACAAAAAGAGATGTTGAAACATTTTCTGCATGCAATTACAAGTGACTAACTAGGAATGTAATTAACTTTAACATAGCTTTAGATCAGTGTTTCTCAACCTGTGAGTCATAGGCCTTTGTTGGTGTGGGGAGTGAACAGCCCTTTCACTGGGGTTGCATATCAGATATCCTGCATATTGCATTATGATTCACGGCAGCACAAAGTTACAGTTATGAAATAAAAAGAAAAAGAATTTTATGGGATGTCACCACAACATGAGGAACTGGATTAAATGGTCACAGAATGAGAAAAAGTACTGTAAACATTAATCTAGTTCTTCACAACTATAACCCTGTAGAACACAATATTAAGTGTATTGATACTACATTTTCTTTATAATAAAATATACCTACCTTCACAATTTACATAATAGCACCATGTTTTTTAAGATGTGGACTTTGTGTTACCTGTGTGCCCTGGTTAATTTATGTGGTGGTTTTGTTTTGTTTTTGTTGCTGCTGGTTTTTTTTTTTGCTTTGATTTTATCAACTTGACACAAACTAGTGTCACCCGAGAAGACAGGCCCTTAGTTGCTTTCACAAGACTGACCTGTGGACAAGCCTGAGGAGCATCTTTTTGATTGATGGTGACTATGGGAGGAACATTCTCACTGTGGGTGGGGTCACCCAAGGCATGTTGTCCTGGCTTGTAGATAAAAGAACACATAGCAAGCAAATTAACTGCTTCTACTTCCATCTTCCACGCTTACTGTTTTAGTTAGTGCCTCTTGGTTTCTGCTTTGAGCTCATGACCTCTATAATAGAGTGGGACCTATGATTTAGTTATGGTGTTTCCTCATAGCAAAAGAAGACTTAATTAAAACATAGCCTTTCTTTCTCACTCTCTCCTAGCTTCCGTTTTTTTCTTTCCTTTCTTTCTCTTTCTTTTTTGTTTCTTACTTATTTAGCAAAATAAAATAGATAAGATCAAAAAATTCAGGTGTATCTTGACAGTACATATAACTTTAGGAAAAAACACTATCATTATAATTAACTAAGAAATAAAATAAAGTCTGTCTTAATATCAGAAATAAGATCCCTTATATCAGGAATGTTACATATAAAGTTTTAACATATTTTACATTTATTCCTTTTAACTTTTGTAGATATATTTTATCTTTCAAAATAAACACAGATTTAATCAGTGGTCTTCAAGATCACAGGAATGATGAGATGTATGTTTTATACATCATTTCATGTTTCAGCAATCCTAATACGTCTCTTTACTCTCATGTGCTGGCAACCTAACAAAAGAAGAAATGATGGCGAGGCATTTCCCTATCATTTGTTTTCTTTTGTCTTAAATATAATATCTTTACTGAATTTTTGAAATTCACATCATGCACTCCAATACTGCTCACTTCTCAGTTCCTCCATCTTTGCCATTCAGCATTGCAGTGCCCCCCATGAAAAGAAAATTTTGGAGAAATTAAAACCAAGCCAAGTCAAAATAAATAAATAAATAAATAAAATGTGTTGGAAGAACAGGAAAGACAGAAGAAGCTAAAGGTGGTTTTTGCTTGTCTGTTTGGTTGATTTATTTTGGTTTGGTTTTCATTCACTGTTATATTTCTAAATATTTACTTTACACTGAGGAATCTTTACTTAGGTTGACCAGTGTCAGAGTTAATATTTTAAAAGAGAAATAGGTTTAGAATAAAGTAAGGATTTCCTATAATTCTAAAAGTTTCAAACCCATGTGTTCCCCCCTGCTCCATAGGGACTTCCTACGCTGGTTTTTGTTTTTGTCATTGAAGACTCCTGTAGCTTCATTTTATCATGACCTGAATTCGAAACTGAAAAACCCCACAGACCAAAATGGCAGTCTTTATTCAATGCTACTTGACTAATCTTATCCCACATTATTCTGGGAATGTGCTGTTATTCAAATTTTATGTTTTCATCAATTTTCTTCATAATTTCCCATCATCCTGCAGGAATATAGATCTTATGAAGGTCTCTGCCATTCAGTAAGTGCTTCCACACAGCAGCTAAAATTACAGACAGCAGATGGCAGAAAGTTTCATTATTCATCTTGTATTCAAAGTAAGAAAAATATTTACAGTCAAAAGAATAAGCATATGCTTTTCTTAACCATGTATTTCACATTTTTCCTTTGTATAGGTTTTAGTATAAAATAATTTGATTATAGCATATGTATAGTTAGTTAAAATTCACAAAATTTGAGTAATGTATTTACTTTTATAAAGCAGAGATATTTTCATTTAATTTATGTGTATTGGTGGTTTCCTGTGGGTGCATATCTGTATACCACACCCAGGTTGTACCCAGTGAGGCCAGATGGAGGGATCAGATAACCAGGAACTGATGTTACAAACAGTAGTGAGGTACCTTGTGGGTACTAGAAACAGAGCCCGGGCCTTTTGTAAAACTTGTTTAACATGACTTGCCACAGTTTTTGAGCAATTTTCTCCGTAGTTGGCAAGATAATGAAGTAAAATCAGTATTTTGTTACTAATCTATATGCTCAGAAAGTTGCTTCAGGAGAGCAATATGTCTCTTGATCAATATGAATTATTCTTATATAGTATTTTTTGAAGATGGTAAGACACCGGCTATAGCTAGGGAAGTGTTTATAAATTCAAGCCTTATACATGAGAAATTTTGAAGTTATTAAATACAAAATTAATTCCAAAACGTTCCTTTCAATAATTTATTAAGATAAATAATCAGAGATATATATTATATAGCTCATTGGGTAAAAAGAAAACAAATTCTCTTTTCAGCATCTGTCAATATCCTAATGAATTTTACATATTATTCCATGTACTTCTTAAGATAATTCTGTCAAAAATTTTATTATTTAATCTTTGTTGTTGAGATGAAGAAACGGTCTTTAATATATGGAAAGTTTAGAGTTTCCATCCAATAGCAGAGCAAAGATTGGTTCTGACTTCCTTTCCTCTTAATGAATACTACATTATAGCCACAGCATTGTAACACTTACCAAAGACTTGAAGGAAAGCCTGCTTTTCATCTTCTCCTGCCTTATTTGTGGCTTTGCAGACATAAGACCCACCATCTTTGTTGATTATATTTCTGACCGTCAGCTCTGTATTACTGCCTTTTAAAATGTATTTTTCATTTTCTTCAATGAGTTTGCCATTCCTAAATAAATAAATAATTTAAAAAGTTGATATTCAACATCTAATAACACACAATTTTTTCATGGCCATTAAAACTGATTGTTATAGTACAGTCAAAATACATTTTTATTGTTCAAGTAAACTTAAGGCAAACATATAAAACAATACTTGATATTTAGTTTCATTTGGAGATAAAAATGACATTTTGAGATTGAAATCTTAATATTAATCAAATAATAAAAATATATGACTTCAACTTATACAGTATTATAAAATGCTGTTCTTATTACAGGTTTTTATTCACTTTATATTTTATTTATTAGTTAATATACAATCATGTAACATATTTATATACATGTGTAGATGACAAAAGCACAATTTCTATGAGAACTTTAATTTTATATGAAACAATATAAATGCCATGAATTTATTTCTCATATAAATATCATCGATAAATGTTATTGTGGTAGTAAAGAAAATATTTTTTGTTTTCTCTGAGTTATCAATAAATGATTATTATTTTCCAATTTATTTCTACAGCAAAATATATTTCCTTCAAAATTTATGTAGTTATAATAATAATAATGGCTATTAACATTTTTCTATTATACTTTAAAAGCATACAATATTTTAAAATTTCATTCCACATTACAAAATATCTTTATATATTCCTTTTACTTATATTCTATTTTTATTTTATTTTGCTCATTTTCTTTTCCCTTTACCTTTTTGTGTATTTCTATTTATAAATTATATTTTTAATTTGTGAATTGAATTGATACTCTGACCCATCGACAGAATCTTTCTGTTGTGGGGAATATCAATATTTATGTATCAGTTTAAATTTCAATATAAAATTTCTAGATGTTTATTTTAAAATCCTTCCTACAAGAAACCACAGCAAGACTTTTATATACCCTTGAATCTTTCAATGGAATTATATTAATACATAAGTCACAGCAATAACGTCAGAGACATCAAAGGCATTTTCAAAATAAACCTGAAATATAAGCAATGGAAATATAAGATGATGAAAATCTTCTTGTAGTTAGTGAATACTGTTTATGTGACCATAGTACTTGAGGGTATAGAAATGCAAATTAGAGAGCACAAAGACATAACAAAGTGTAAGCAGGAGAAAAGAGAATTGAAATAATGTTTTATTTTGTACCTCTTATTGCTAAACAAACTCATGAAATATTCTTACTGTTTGGACCTGAGGTGAATGGAATTTAAATAAAGAAGATATTGCTTCAAAATGTCAACTACAATGGTAAAAAATGAAAGTAGAAATATGCACATTCATATGCAAATTTCAATAACATTTAGAAAAAGGATATAGAAAACTTCAAAAACATAGTTATAAAAAGTGGGTCATATGTATGAATAAGTACAGATAGCAACCATTATGAATACAAATGGGATATACATTTCTATGTCTATTTTTTAAGTGTACAGAACATTTACTAAAATAGAAAAAATAGTGAACTGGAAAAATGTTATTAAAATATTTGCTAATTGGAAAACATTTAATATAATTAACAAACGATATATAAAATTGAAATTAAGCATAACCACAAACTGAGAAAGAAAACAGCATCCTTAAAAAGGAAAGGAAGATAAATGCAAAGTACACAGAAAGAAAAATAACAAAAACAGAAGCAATATATTCACCGAAGCTAATGCAAATTCTAAGTTTATTATGTTTACAAATTGTATACACAGACATACAGAGAGAGAGACAGACAGACAGACACACAGACACACAGACAGACAGCATGAAAAAGGCATAGAACAAAAAATGAATTGTGAAGTTATCAAGGCAAGAGAAGCAAGAACACTGACGCAATACAGAAAGTAAATATGTAACAAGGTTTAATGAATTATGTTAGGCTTTTAAATAGAATTAAAGACCATGAACCACGAACACATTTTTACAAAACATGTCATTAAAGACTGAATAATATAGAAATTACCTGTATAGCCCTTCATCACAACAATAAAAAAGCATTTATGGTAAAACCTTCAGCCAAGAAAAGTGATGAAAAGCTTGTTTGGCTAATTTGAATAAGAGACAACCAGGCTGACTTTACAACTTTGCCACAAAATAGTACAGGGAGATATATTTCTTTACTGAAAGTTCATTTTGATTCTCAGCTGGAAGGATCTGGAACTGCCATCAAAACAAATCTTTGTATATCTGTGAGGGAGTTTTTAGATTAAGGTTGTTAAAAGTGGTTGCTGGCTAGTCCAACGGTCCCACCCAAGGGCTGGAATTCTAAACAGAATAAAAGGGACAAGCGTGGCTGGGCAGAAAAATTCAGAACTGTCTGCTGATGCTATTGAATCAGGTGTTCCCTGTTCCCCCGCCATCCCTCAGTGGAAGGAAACCTCAAACTGTGAGCAACATTACTGTCTTCTCTTAATTACCTATGTCAAAATTTCCTTCACAAAACAGAGTAGCCCTTTAACAATTCAAGCACAAACATAGGATTACTGAGGATACAGCAGCTATTAAATTATCACCATCTTAATTCTCGTAATACATAAAAATGACATCAGAATCTGAATAGGAGAGGTTTTTTTTATTTCAAATTAATTCATTTACTCATGTTATGTCCTTTCTTCTTACCCCCGCTCAAGCAATTCCTCCTCCTCTATTTCTGTTAAGGAAAGTGACAGGCTTCCCATGGATATCATCAAAGTATTGATTCTCAAGTTGCAGAAAAACTAATCCCCTCCCCTTGTACTAAGGCTGGACAAGGCAATGCATTATTCGGAATGGGTTCCTAAGAGGTAGCCGAAGCTTAAGGACAGCCCTTGCTTCCATTGTTAGGAGTCCCACAAGCAGATCAAACTACACAACTGTTCCAAATGTAGAGGGCCTAGTTCAGTCCTGTGTAGGCTTCCTAAATGTTGGTCAGATTGTATGAGTTCCTCTGAGACAAGTTAGCTGTTTCTGTAGGTATTTTTGTGATATTCTTGACACCTCTGGCTCCTACAATCCTTCCTCCCTCTCTTCAGCAGAATACCCTAGCTTGTCATGTTTGGCTGTAAATCTTGCATCTGTTTCCAACAGTTAGTGAATGAAAGCTCTTTAACGAAAACTAGGGTAGTCACTAATCTGATCAGAAGAGGTGGCCAGTTCATACTACGTATCAACTATTACTAGTAATCTTAGCTGGGGTTATTATTGTAGATTTGTAGGGCTTCCCTTGCATCAGGTTTCTACTTGATCCTGTAATGCCTCCTCCCTTTCCAGTAATCTCTTTCAACACTCCTCTCCTCCATTCACCCCTTCACCTGATACCTCAGGCTCCCATCCCCACTCAGGAGATCACTTCAATTTCCCCTTTCAAAGGATATCCATGCATCCCTTTTTGTGCCCTCCTTGTTACCTGGTCTCTCATGGTCTGTGAGTTGCACCATAGTTATACTTTACAGCTAATATCTATTGACTGAGAACATACCACCTTTCTGGTTCTGGGTTACCTCGTTCAGTTTGGTTGTTTTCTAGTTCCAACCACTTGCCTTCAAATTTCACAATGTCATTATTTCAATGCCTGTGTAACACTCCATTGTATAGATATAGCACATATTCTTTATCCAATATTTGTTTGAGGGATATATAAGCTGTTTCCAGGTTTTGTCTACCATGAATAAAGCTGGTATCAATGTAGTTGAGCAAGTGTCCTTGTGGAATTATTGAGCATACTTTGGGTATATGTCCAAGAAAGGTATAGCTGGGTCTTGAAGTAGATTGATTTCCAATTTTCTGAGAAACCACAATATTACTTTATAAAGTGACTGCACAAGTTTGCACTCCCATCAGAAATGGAGGTGTGTTCTCTTTGCTATACATCCTCTCCAGCAAAAACTGCCATTAATGTTTTCGATCTTAGTCATTATGACAGCTGTAGGATAGATTGTCAGAGTCATTTTTATTTGCATTTCCCTGATGGCTAAGGATCTTGAACATATCTTTAAGTGTTTCTGTTGAGAATTCTCTGTTTATGTCTATACATGCTTTCTTTTTAATTAGATTACTATTTTTTTTAATAAAAAGAAACCAGGATAACTAAAACAATCTCATACAATAAAAGAGCTGCCATAGATATCACTCTTCCTCACCTGAAGCTATACTGCAGAATAGTAATAAAAACACGATGGTATTGGCATAACAACCGACAGGTAGATCAATAGAATCAAATCAGAGACCCAAGCATAAATCCACACACGTATGCACACCAGATTTTTGACAAAGAAGACCAAATTCTACAATGGACAAAAGAAAGCAACTCCAGCAAATGGTGCTGGAAATACTGGTTATCACCATGTAGAAGAGTACAAATAGATCCATATTTATCATCAAATCCAACTGTGTTAAAGATCTCAACAAAAATACAGGTACAGTGAACCTAATAGAAAAGAAAGTAGAAAGTAGCCTTGAACACATTGGCACAGGAGACAACTACATGAATAGAAAATCAGTAGCACAGACAATGAGATTGAAAATAAATAAATGGGACCTCATGAAACTGAAAAGGTTCTGGAAGGCAAAGGACAGTTGCAATAAGACAAAAGGGCAGCCAACAGAATATGAAAATATTTTCAGTAAATCCATATCCAACAAAGGGCTGATTTCAAAAATAAATGAATAGGGGAGTCTTAAAAGAATGCATTGTGGTATTTACTCTGGAAATCAATAGAATTGACCTAATTAATAGACTGAAAACCATATCCAGTGGATATTTTATTTTAATTTTTTTCATATGATATATTTTGATATTATTCTTCCTTTCCTCAACTCCTCCATGAATCTCTGAATCTTCCTACTCACCCAATTTCATTTTATTTCTCCCTGTCTCAAAAAAAAAAAACACTCAGCAGATTTGAGTGACATGAAAATGTGTACTAAAAGAACATATTGAGGAAGGTTTACTCTGCATTTGTGCTTTCTTCAGTTTACATGGAGTTATTGCTGTTTGCTTTGGGAAAATTATCACAATCTTCCAACTTTTAGCTCATATATTTTTTATATTTCTGTAGCATACAAAGCATGCGCCTATCTCCATTTGAATCTTGGCTCCCTAACTCTTTAAGTGAGCCAATTTGGAGACAGAGATTTCAAAAATTAAAGAAATAAAACAAATTTGTGTTTGAATAAGTGACACCTGCATTTGATGGATAGTGTGTGTGAAGTCTGATTGGCCATTGAGCTCCATAAATCCACATGACGTTTTTCCTCCTCTCCAGCACTGGTATTACAAGCAAAAAAAATGCAAACACATATCTGTTATGTGGACTGTATGGATAGAACTAAAGTTGCCATGTCTGTGCCATCTTTCTATCTCTAAGAACCTATGATCTAAAAAGTAAGAAAGCCGCATTTGTAAGCAGTGGGAAAGCCGTGACAGGATAAAGTGAAGAAGCGTACATCAGGATGTAGGGAGATAGTCCTCAACAGCAACCAGTCCCACTGGTACCGTGGACTTGGATACCAGAACTCCAGAAATGTGGAGAAATACATTTCTGATATTTTAGTCACCTAATACATTGTGTTTCTTTCTTTCTTTTTCTTTATTTCAGCAGCCTGTGGATACTAACTCAGTGGGCTCCTGTCATATCACTTGTGTGTACCATCTCTGCTTAGCAGGTTGTCTGGATCCTTTACTGCGTCTAAGTACACTTCCCAGTGTTTACAAGAATTTATTTGTAAAGTTTTGATATGTTATATCTACAGATAAATGTGATCAAATAAAATTTTCAGTAAAATAAATCTATGTCTACAAATGTTACAATACAATCCTTTTCACACAATACTTTTTGAAAAAAAAAATCACGCACCAAAAAATTTGTTTGGATTCTAAGAATTCTCTATTATCATGAAGAAATGGTGTTTGAAGGCATACAGATGAAGAAATACCAACATTCTGGATTTGATTAATTTTAGTTTTTATGATAATTGTATTTCCAATAAGTATAAGAAAATAATTTCCAAGATATTTAAGAACAGATGTTAAATATCTCTGGGCATGTATAATAATTTAGGGTCATGTTCTAGATCATTATTTGTTCTTGGGGATGAATGACATAGGAACTTTTCTATGACTCAGTTAGATGTACTATGAACTCAAGGGATTATTTGGAATCAAGCACTCACTGAGATACATGATTGCCTTGGGTTAGTATGCTAATGTCTGATGGACAATCCCAGTAAAATATTATTACCAAGAATTAAAATCTGCATAAATCAGTTCCATTCACCTTGTTTGTAGAAATATTATACTTATTGAATCCTACTATGATAAAATTATAAACAAGATAAAGATCTTAAAATCTTATTATCATCAAAACTTGTTTAAATAGCAATGAAGAATAGTTGTGGATATTGTTATTTTTAAAACAAATTACAAAGCTTAAATATCGAGAATTTTATCTTTGTATATAGAGACTATAGTTATTAAGTTCAAACCCAGGATAAACAGCTGAGGTGCCTATTTAACATACCAAAATTTGACCCGGACACCAGATTCTCCTAACATCTCTCAGTCCCTACCCATTACAGGCTACAGCTTGCATAGCCCACTCTCTACTCTGAATTCTCAAAGCCAGAGGCTGCTCTGCCTTTCTCCAGAGTCTCATCTCTATATAAGACATTTTGATTAACCGCCCCTTCCCTTTTGTACCTTTGGCATCCTGGCTGCTGCACCTGATTCCCCTCTTTCTTCTCTCTCTTTTTTCTTTTACATCTTACACATGACCCAGATCAGTCTAGCTAAGTACTCTCTTCCAGATGGCCTTGCCTCTGACTATGCTTTCCTACCATAAAATTTCTCCCTACTGTACCTAGGAGCAGTCATGCCCTTTCCTTTCAATACTAATTACTTTGTGAAATTGGTTTTTTTTACAGATTGTCATTTATAAGTATAAAAATTGTTAACGATCTTAGTGTTCCTTCAATAAACTTCTTATTTCTATTTTACATTATTGTGTATATGTGTGTGTGTGTGTGTGTATAAAATACTTAAGCATGTACATTTGTGAAGCCAGAATATAATATAGGGTATCACATTCAGGAATGCTGTAATTTGATTGTTAACAGTGTTTGTCATTGGGGTCATCACGTACAATGAGTGGCTGGCCAGTGGTATGTGGTCCTAGTGTATCCACCTATTTATCCTTAACTTTACAACAATACCAGCATGTCTGGAATATTCATATAGATATAATCTAACTCAGGACCAGATGCTTATGAGGTAAGCACCTAGTTGGCTAAGCCAAATCCTTAGCCTCATAAAATGTGCTCTAATGCTTATGTACAAGATTGTCCTGTTGAAGCTTTATTGTCCTCAATTTCTTCCTTTGAACATCAGTCAATGATAATAGAGTACAATAAAAAGATGCTTGGTAATAATGGAATCTAAGCATGTTTGAAAACTTAAAATAATAGACAGAAGTAAACAATTAAAGAATAGTTTTTAGAATACACTAATTATTCTTTTGGTGAGTAATTTTTGAAATGTCTTTCAAACTTCTTGAAATGTCATCTATATAATTATTTTATAATATAGTACAACAAGAAAACACGCATTTATTTTCACACAATAGTAAGTGAATTGCATCCAAACAATATTGTTGCTAAGAATGTTAAAACATCACTTTTAATACAAACTTTATTCCATCAGCAAAGCAGACTCAATCAGTAACAAGGCCGCAGGGCCAACGTTGAACAAAAAATACCTCTGTAGCTCCAGTAAGCAATCTCTGTCAATTTTTCGCTCAGGGACATTACGACAAGCTCACTTGCTGTAGTCTTCGTCTGTCCAATCTAATATCCTTAGCCAGTAATTAATAGCACCTGAGGCAGGCAAGATGCCTCATTGAGTTAAAGTACTAACAAATTTGGAAATCAAAGTTTATTCCAGTTTCCACAGTGAAAGGCAAGAACCAGATCTTGAAAGTTGTCCTTTGATACCCATAAATATGCCATGGTGTGTACACACCAGTACTGTCTCACACCCACACCCACACCCACGCACATGCACACACAAGCACACTAATAGTGAATTATTTTTAGAGCCTGTTTCATTATTTATGTTATTTATGAGATATAAAACAGTTATATCATCCCCTTAATCGTTTCTCCTTCTAAAATCTTCTTGTTCATTTGCTTTTCTTTTTATCTTATTAAAAACAGATTTTTTTCATACAATGTATTTTTATTTTGGTTCTATTTCCTAAATTTCTGCCAGGTCTTCCCTACTTCCCATCTCATAAAATTTTACAACCTTTCTTCCTCTTTCTCCTTAGGAAGCAAACAAGCATCTAAAAAATGAAATAAAAAACAGTCAAACTAGAATAGTATGAAACAAACAAATAGAAGAAGGGGGCAAAAATCTCTCTTTCAAATCCATGCTCTCTTTTTTATTAATTTTTGTTCCATCTAGATATGCTTATATATACATATATTCCAAAATAAAACCCACTCAGTCTATAAAATGTTGCTTGCATGTTTGTTTTCAGAGATGATTCTTTGGTGTTAGATAGTATATATTTTAAATGAGCCTAGACAATGATTGTTTCTTTCCATGTAATTGTACTTTCAAATATTACTCCGTGAGCCAAAGAACACCACAGAGAAGACATGGACCCTTCACTTACCGAAACCAAGAGATGGTAGGATCTGGAGAGCCTGAGGCCCTGCAGGTGAATGTCATCTCTTCTCCTCTCTCTGCGGTAGCATTGAAGGACTTTTGGGGCATCACAATGACTGGTGGAACTGAAGGACAAAGGACAGAGGAAAGAGTTGCGATCATAACACTGCACCAACAATATTTTGCCACTGTCTTTCAGTGCTTTGAACCTTCATTGTTGCTTTCTGTTTTCACAGAGAATTAAGGTCAGTGATATGCTTTCTTATATAATTGGATAATTCAACATGTTATTAGTTTAGTATTTCTCAACCTGTTAAACAATGAATTGTGTATTTTAGCGAACATATATAATGCAGGAAATAGGTCTCACACAAAGACACAGCAGCAATGACTTAATCCATACTGAAATCTACTTTTAGCATAAATGGATTTCCTATTTGGGTTCTTATTGGCCTCTGTAATTCCATAGGCCATCATTCACTGTTTCAAGACAGGGCTTTCAAATTAGGTGTCAAACCATAATGTTCTTTCTGATTAACTACACTTAATTTCTTCAAACAACTATAAAACATTTTATGAAGAGAAACTGCTTCAGCTATAGAGTATGAAAATAGATTTTCATGAACAATTCAATTTTAAAATTAAGCTTCCTCAATTTCAAACTAATTACATTGCAAGATTGTACACGCTGCACATTCTGGTCATGGTGAAACTGTGACTGAAATGCAGTGTTTGCAATAAACAGATCACAGACTTTAACAGCGCTGCTTCCGTGTCAAAGGAAACCCGTGCTGGGACTCAATGCCCATCTGCACGTCCTTAAAGGGTATATGATAAAGTACTACGTATAAAATAATAAAAATAAAAGAAGTAAATACATTGATTATTCTCTCTCTCTCTCTCTCTCTCTCTATATATATATATATATTTATATGAGAGAATATATATATATATATATATTCTCCAAATAGACAGGCAGTTAGAGGTTTGATTACAATCACATATCTTCAGAGTAGTGCTCAGGTCAGCATTATAAGGCACTGTGACAAGGAAAATGAGGAAAATAAGAGATACATCTTTTTTGGGGGGAGGGGGTTCATGACAGGGTTTCTTTGCAGCTTTGGATCCTTTCCTGGAACTAGCTCTTTTAGATAAGGCTGGCCTCAAACTCACAGAGATCTGCCTGCCTCTGCCTCCCCAGTGCTGGAATTAAAGGTGTGCGCCGTCATTGCCCAGCCAGATAATGCATCTCAGTAACTAAACACAGTACCTCACATGTTTGCCATTATGTGGGTTGATATACAGATCGTAATCTTACATGAAATATCATAATATTTATGATTAGAATCCCCAAAGATGGACTTATAGATATTAACTCTTAATTTAAAGGACACATTCATTTCACTCTCTATATCTCATTGCATTTCTGTTATTATGAACAGAATAAATTTTTTCACCGCATAACCTACTACTGCAATGTTTTGTCTTGTAAGTGAATATCAAATGAGGCATGAGACATCTTGTGCTGTCTTTAATTGTTTTTTTTTAAATATTACAACATAATAGCAAGTTTCCCTTCCCTCTTTTCCCATCCATGCCCCACATACATCTCCCCATATTTCTTCATATTTATGGCCTTTTTCCATTATTATTTTATGCATATACGTATTCAATACTTATTTATTCCTAAATGTAACATACTCAGTTCAAATGTTACTTTTATGTGTGTTTTCACAGCTGATTTGTATGAGATAACTAATTGGTTCACCTTTTTTCTTGCTTTTCATATGTCTGTACTATATATTTTGCTCTTGCCTTAGAATTACACATGGAAATAGAATGCTCTTTTTTTCCCATTTGGCAGGTCATCAGGTTTTGAGAATTCAGATGTATAACAGTCCTGTCATGTTCAGAAGGTGTTATCTTGCCCACTTACATTTTTTCTGCCCTACTCCTCTAGGTTTCCTGAGGCCTTGGGGATATATAGAAATTGGATGGAAATGTCCCATATAGGATTGACTAAATTCTACAGTTACTTGTTATCTGAACTTCAAACAGTTTGGAGTCTATAAACAGCACCATTCACTGCAAATTATAAATTAAGTTGAAGGAATGGTTAAATTGTTTATATGGTAGCAACACATATTTTTATCAAACCACAGAAAGCAAACATATTAGCAGAAATCCCTCTTTATGTTTCTTTAGATAGAAACACTTCTGCACTAGAAGAGAGTTTTCTAGTCCCCTCTCTGATGTTGTTGCTAAATGAAAAAGGCTGTTTAATATTTGCCATAATTTTATTTTCAGGAAAATTTCAAGGTTGGAAAAATATTACTGCTTATGTTTTACATAACACTGAAATTATTAAGAAAATGTCCATTATTATATTACAGTGTAAATCAACAGAAGTGTAGTCTAACTAAGAATTTAATACCATGTTCGTAAGACCAATTAGGCTGCTCAGATTAATGTGACAGACACAAAACCAAATCACAGTATTGTTTTTTGTTCTTTTAATTGGTTTGTTTTTTTTCCCCAATTTTTAGGTACTATAATATAAGCTTATATCTCTCAGCTTGACCGATAATTTTTTATTTTTATTACATTTACTTATTTGTATATGTAATCTTAAATACACAATCATGCCATAGAGGGAGAGTGGCTGTCAATAGAAAACCTCAGGGAGTCATTTTTTCTTCCATTATGTATGTATCAAAGAATGGTGGGAAGGAAGATTATCAACTGGGCCACGATACTGTCCCGTTAATACAAATTTTGACACTTGTACATATTTTTATTTTACATTATTGGGAATTATCAAGCTAAAATATTATTTATTATGTATTTTATTAGGAGCTAAAATATAAATTCTAAATATACTTTTCAAATAAAGAAAATGTCTAAAGACTCCACGGATTTTTTTCCCTTTTTTTGATATAAATGTTTACTAATACAGTTGCACTGATCAGACATAAGACTGCATTGGACATCTTTGGAATGATGTTAAAGATGATCATGAGTCACCATGTGGGTGTTAATGATTGCAGATAAGTTCTCTGAAAGAGTAGCCATTGCTCTGAATCACCGAGCCAACACTCCATTCCATTATTTGCTTACGTTTATATTTTATATTGTTTTTAACACTTTTGAAAGTCATATAATACATTCCACTGCCTTTTTACAAGTTTAGATGACCAGGTTGAAAGCCAAAACTTATGTGTTATAATATCTGTCTACGAACAAAGAAATTATGTCTTATCTTCAGGTCTTCTGATGATTTCAATAGCACATAAACATTGAAAAAAAAATAAAAAATGTGAACCAACTTAAAAACCACATTTTCAAAGCTTATTCACAGTACTCAAATAGAGTATAGACTTTTTCATTTTAAATATGATTATTATAGTAAATCTTCTGATGAGGAAGCAAGGATTCTGCTCTTACAATTTACATCATTGTCATTTTTGTATAATTAATCTCATAATAACATGTTGTGAAATATGGTGGCAGTGCAGGGTAGACTGTGGATTAAGTTAATTCATTAATATAAAATTTTTTGGTAATCTGTATAAAGTGATTACATTCCGGTAGACATATCAGGTCTATATGAAATCATATCTACCTTTCTACATTTATTATCAACACATTCAATTTTTCTGTTTCCTTTCCTATGTAATATAAGCTGAAATCGCATCTTAGTTTTCCTTAACATTGATTATGGTTACTTGCAATGAAATTTATTTTCTTATTGATGGAGAAGGATCAACCTAAACTGATATTTAATAAAAAATAGCTTTTAGACATAAGGACATACATAATCCTGCATATTTATTTCATCCATAGACATAATCAAAACAATTTAATATTAGGATAAAATTTAAGTCTAGCTCACTGATTAAAATGACTTAAGTGTATATAGTTATTTATTTTTGATAAATATTTCTGAATTATGAACAACCATCAATATCAGAGAAATCAGTACTTCCTTTCTCTTTTGCTATAAAACCTATTATTATGTCCTCAAGTTTGAGAAATGATGACAAATATGGGGTATGATTCACATTTACTTTTAAACAATCAATACAATGAGGCAGTGCTAGAACCATGATAACATAGTTAGCACTGGATCGTAAAATAATGTTTAACAGGAAAAAGCAGTAGATCTGACATCTTTGGATAATAATAGTGAAGATGAAATAGTTGTATTATGATTTTTAAAAGTATATGTATAGTAGAGCAAAACGATCACAATCTTATCTGTGGGAACATCTGGCATATAAATCATTAATCTCAAATCAGTTGGAAGATTCATTGCTACAAGTTGTATAGAGAGAACTGGTTTAGAATTCAGTTGGAGCATTTCAGTGTTGACACAGACTGTCAGAAGGCTACCACTTGATTTTTAGCCATAATATGATCCCTGGAATATGTGATGCACAAGAAAATTCCCTTAGCAATCCTTGAAATCATTGCCTTTCCTGGGAGTTCTCACCTGTCCTAAACAAAACCTTAGCTTGCCTTGAAGTTCGGTAAGACTTTCACTGAGCTGCTTCACTCAGATGTTGGTTGACAGTGAGGACAAGAAGTTTTCTGCACAAATTGGGCCCCTGAGAGTCTTGAACTGTTTCTACTTGCTAGACCCTATCCTTTCCTTTCAAAGAAATATTTTAAATGTGCATACCCTGTAGAGTGTGGGCTGAGATTTCAAGCACTTAGTCTTCAGGGAAAAAAAAAAACATATAGAGCTTGTAGAATGAGATCTTGTAGGAGAAAATTATATAATTATTGAAATAAAAAATGAGTAGCTTGCTAGAGATGAAGTATGAACTAAATACTAGAGAACAAATGAAAATTGGCTTAGACTTAAAAGAAAAGTTATGTATAATTATAAATACACATAAATAAGATAATTGTTCTTTTTAAAACAAGATTACAAAAAACAACAAATTTTTAAGGAATTGCAGCCATATGTACCTTGTAGAATGACTAGTCTTGAAGCTGTTTGCCAAGTCATCATGTGTTTCGACACATTTGGGGAATAGAATACATGAGTGTCTCTTCAGCTAACTCTAAGATCAATTCCATGATGTATTTCATTAATATAATGTGAAATTATACTTTGATT